GCACCATAAAACGTAGTGGGAGTTATCGTGTGCAGTGCGTGACAGGACCATCCACTGTATGACTGATAACAGCTGATACACGCACATTAGTTTCTATCACGGGTCAGTAATAGCTACTCCTGCCAGACAGTAAAGTGTACTAAACTTTAAAGTGTAGTGATGTTAACACAGCATATCGTTAGTGAACACTCCAGTCGGTCAGTTTTTGGTTGGTATTACGTCCGACTATTAACCACACCCCCACTCTCTGTTTGAGAAGGAACGTTAACCAAAAACGGCAGTTAAAACTGGCTGGAGGGCGCTTTAAAGGGTAACTTTTGCATGGACCCTATTTTCCCATGTTTTTGTATCTATCTGACTAATCATCATTATTTGAAATCGGTACAGTATTGAGCGAGCACGCAGCAGACGGCAGCAGCTAAACAGGGCTGCAACTTAATCCTTGCATGCAGTTGCTCAACGTCAAAGTACGTCCACTAAAGTGCTTGTTTTTGACCCTGCCAGGCGCAGCTTGTTATTATAAGTGTCTGACAACATAATGTTGACCTTTTTTCTAAAGAGTGAGATCCAATAGCTAGTGCCGCTTGGCACTGGCTATTACTTATATAGTCACTATGTTTTCTAACAAGTAGGTTCTAGCAGCAGGTTCGTTGTGGGAGTCTTTCCCGGTGTGTGAGAGAAGCACCAGCACACTGCCACAGAAAAGCACCTGTGACTCATTATGTGGATGTGACGAATTATCAAAGGCTGCAAAGAATGCAGATGATCTTATGAATATATTGTGCATTTTTTTTACATGCCTTTTACTTTGAGCTAAAACTATGCTCTACTCTCAGCTTGTGAAATACTGATATTTTGTGCATCTGTGTAAATGTATTGATGTACAGAATTACAAAATGAATGTGTTTGTAGTCATTTTAGCAGCTTGTTTGCACAGGTTGATAATCTGTGTGTGTGTGAGAGAGAGAGGGCCATCTACAAGAGTCTAAGAGGCTTTTATTGGTCTTGTTACACAATTCTGGGAAGAGAAACACAATACGCTGCCATGTCAGGAAATCTGGTGTTTTTGTATCAGTGTGTGGTGAGAAGGAGAGAATATAGTAACAAAGCTCTGGACAAATCCCTTCTCACTTTTCCTGGATTTGATGCATTTTTCTTCTCGTAATATTTCAAACAAAACATGGGCGGTCCAACTGGGACCAGCAAGTAAAAGACATAACATCTCCAAAATGAGTAAGACAATATTTTAATTTGCAATGGGTTTAACCCTTTTGATGGTTTTCTGTACCGATTGGTGCAGCACAGTCAGACTTGAGATACAGTGGGTACGGAAAGTATTCAGACCCCTTTAAATTTTTCACTCTTTGTTTCATTGCAGCCATTTTCCAAAAATCAAAAAAGTTCATTTTATTTCTCAGTAATGCACACTCAGCACCCCATCTTGACAGAAAAAAAAAACAGAAATGTAGAAATTTTTGCAAATTGATTAAAAAAGAAAAACTGAAATATCACATGGTCATAAGTATTCAGACCTTTTGCTCAGTATTTAGTAGAAACAACCTTTTGATCTAATACAGCCATGAGTCGTTTTGGGAAAGATGCAACAAGTTTTTCACATCTGGATTTGGGTATCCTCTGCCATTCCTCCTTGCAGATCCTCTCCAGTTCTGTCAGGTTGGATGGTAAACGTTGGTGGACAGCCATTTTCAGGTCTCTCCAGAGATGCTCAATTGGGTTTAAGTCAGGGCTCTGGCTGGGCCATTCAAGAACAGCCACAGAGTTGTTGTGAAGCCACTCCTTCGTTATTTTAGCGGTGTGCTTAGGGTCATTGTCTTGTTGGAAGGTAAACCTTCGGCCCAGAGCACTCTGGAAAAGGTTTTCGTCCAGGATATCCCTGTACTTGGCCGCATTCATCTTTCCCTCGATTGCAACCAGTCGTCCTGTCCCTGCAGCTGAAAAACACCCCCACAGCATGATGCTGCCACCACCATGCTTCACTGTTGAGACTGTATTGGACAGGTGATGAGCAGTGCCTGGTTTTCTCCACACATACCGCTTAGAATTAAGGCCAAAAAGTTCTATCTTGGTCTCATCAGACCAGAGGATCTTATTTATCACCATCTTGGAGTCCTTCAGGTGTTTTTTAGCAAACTCCATGCAGGCTTTCATGTGTCTTGCACTGAGGAGAGGCTTCCGTCGGGCCACTCTGCCATAAAGCCCCGACTCGTGGATTGCTGCAGTGATGGTTGACTTACTACAACTTTCTCCCATCTCCCGACTGCATCTCTGGAGCTCAGCCACAGTGACCTTTGGGTTCTTCTTTACCTCTCTCACCAAGGCTCTTCTCCCCCGATAGCTCAGTTTGGCCGGACGGCCAGCTCTAGGAAGGGTTCTGGTCGTCCCAAACGTCTTCCATTTGAGGATTATGGAGGCCACTGTGCTCTTAGGAACCTTAAGTGCAGCAGAAATTTTTTTGTAACCTTGGCCAGATCTGTGCCTTGCCACAATTCTGTCTCTGAGCTCTTCAGGCAGTTCCTTTGACCTCATGATTCTCATTTGCTCAGACATGCACTGTGAGCTGTAAGGTCTTATATAGACAGGTGTGTGGCTTTCCTAATCAAGTCCAATCAGTATAATCAAACACAGCTGGACTCAAATGAAGGTGTAGAACCATCTCAAGGATGATCAGAAGAAATAGACAGCACCTGAGTTAAATATGAGTGTCACGGCAAAGGGTCTGAATACTTATGACCATGTGATATTTCAGTTTTTCTTTTTTAATAAATTTGCAAAAATTTCTACATTTCTGTTTTTTTCTGTCAAGATGGGTTGCTGAGTGTACATTACTGAGAAATAAAATGAACTTTTTTGATTTTTGGAAAATGGCTGCAATGAAACAAAGAGTGAAAAATTTAAAGGGGTCTGAATACTTTCCGTACCCACTGTATATTGTTCAGATGTTTTGAGCGTTTATCGTTGTAGATAATGAACTTTTAAGTATCATCAGAGTAAACTGTGTCAATATCTATTTTCTAATAAACAATCTAATGATGTTTAGATAAAAGGCTAAATTCTTAGGGTGTTCTTTAGATAGTTTCTTATAAATATAGCAACTTCATATACATTCGAATAAATTTCAGGCTTAAATGAGCAACTTCCAGCTAGTCCTGCTCATTCAGAGTATAGATATGGATAATTTAGTTGTTAACAAACCAATACAGATAATGGTGCCTCAATGATCCCTAATCTCTAGCTCTGTGCGATGGACATTTCAGTCATTTTATAGAGCAAACAATCTATTAATCTGGAAAAGTACAGATTAATTGCAAATGAAAAGCCATAGACCACATGTTTTTAAAAATCCAACTTCTGAATAAAACAGTTCTCTTCAAGCTTCAAGCTTTCTTTCCCCTTCTTGATGCCTATAATGCTTGATTTGAATTGCGAGAACTAAAAGTGTACTAAAAGTTGAAATCCAGTTTCAGGTCAGTTGAATATTACATTCAGATTCAGCTTTTTAATGGAATTATTCAGGTTGAGCTCTTCAAATTAAAGTATAAATGATTCAAATTTAGTATCTCATTACACATATTTGTACTCATACATACCTGTCTTACAAGAACTTGGTGTATACGTTTTATACATTATTGTTATTTTCATAATTTGTTCAGTTGTCTCATAGGATAATTAGACTTGTGGATCAGTATTATTTTGGTTGACCTACTGATATCGATAATAATAAGACCAAGACCCACTTGAGCTCCTTTTCATAAAATTTTAATCAACAATTAAGATTTCCAGAAGAAAGATTTGCTGCACAACTTCTGTCAGTGTTTGCACATATAATAATAACAATAAAAGTAAACTTGTATCTCATGAGTTTTTCACTGTGAACTCTCTTTCCCACAGTGATTCAATAATTGGCTCCTGCATGGCTGTCTGCATGTGTGTGTGTGTGTGTGTGTGTGTGTGTGTGTGTGTGTGTGTGTGCGCGCGTGCATTTCACATGGGACTGTATTTTTTGGGCTTCTTATTTCCACTTAAACCACCAATTTTCAGTAGAAGAGACTGAAGTGAAAGAAATGGAAATTTGCCATGACAAATCACAGAAGGGGAGGTCACAGTGGGACATGCTGGATAAACAAATCCGCCATGTTTTTATCTGTGTGTGTGTCTTTTTGTGTAGGATCTGTAGTGTACAGGGCTTGTGCATTTGACTCATAACAGTTTAAAATAGCAATGTAGCAGCAGGGCAGAGGGTCAGTGACCACAGATCACTACTTAGGAAAAAGATTTAAAGATGTGTACCTGAGTGTGTTTTGTGTAAATTGAAGTTCTTTTCACCATGTACACAGTAAAAACTACTGTTACCCTGCAACAATTCTTCCTCTATTCAGTGGGCTTCATATTGTACAGCCTCTATACGTTACTGTCTATGAAGCATATTTATAATGTGGCTGGTGGCTTTTCTTCAGTATTCCATTTGTATAGATATTTTTATTGAAACTTGCTCATTATTTTATTAGATATGAATATAGATATTTTATGATGTTATATGTTCAACCCTCTGAAGGCTGAGTGCATATAGCTGATGGATGGATGGATGGGTGTTATATATTGAATTGGTAAATATAATTTGCAACAAAGACTAACAAATATTTTGACCAACTTCATACATTATACACACAATATTTCTCACCTATTTTCTCTTTGTTGAGTTTTATGGCCTGCAGTGTTACTGTATAGGTTCAGCCTCAGTTAATGAAATTAGTTTCCAGCCACAGCAGGCAGCTGTTTTCAGCGAAAAAGCTCTAATAGCCACCGATGAAATGATCTGCTCAGCACCAGACAGCAGACACAAGGTGTTTCTCAATCTGCATTCTTGTCTGTACTTGTAAAACGTCATCAGTCGTAGCTCAAGTACTGTACCAATTCAAAAGTGTGCATCGAGCTAAGTACAGTGAAATACCCAGATGTGTACTTGTGTATCCGTATCACAGAATGCATTTTGCACCAACAAGCGGCAATGGCGGAGAAGACCCCCAACTGTAAGTTATAATACTGCTGTTATTGTGTCACATAAAAGAGTTTTAAGTGTTTTTTATGCGGGAATATAGTTCAAGTTAATAGTTAATAGTCAGTAGTTCAATAAACTTAAAGTTTGTGGTCGATAGGGATGGGGATCGTTCATTTTTATTGATATTGATACCACTATCGATACTGCCAAACGGGCATGATGTAGGCCAGCACGGTATGAGGAAAATATTCTTAAAAAAATGTGTGATATCGTTATATATATATTGACATCACTTGCGATAAATAAACATATATTGAAGTGTACATATTAACGGCCTGGTTGTTTTTTAATCTAATATTTTAAATACAGCTAAATGTTGTTTCTAGAGCAGCAACATGCAACATTAATGTTTACAACAGCAAAGTAGCTCAATAACTTTATCTGACATCACAAGTAGTGAGTGACGTTTAGAAAGAATAGCATCGGTCTGTATCAGTCCCTCCTCCTCTTTTGCTATTTAGCTTGTTTTTAACATTTGGCTAATGCCAAGCTAGCGTTAGCTGTGCTTGTATAAAACATACAGGATGAGATACTGAGGACAGAGATGATTAAATTAACCATGTCTAACGTTACATGTTTAACGTTACCTTTACAGATAGGTGTATTGATAAAGTATTGTCGTTTTACTTGCAAAGGTTTTATTGCACGTACTTACAGTAACGAGCGTAGCTGTCATCAACTAACATTACAGTAGTTTGGAACTTAACGCTCACCGTATTCCACCGCGACGGCGCAGCCTCTCGCTCTGCTGCCGCTGTGTGTGTGTGTGTAGGAGCCGACTGAGAGCAGACTTTCTTATCCATTGCGTTTCAAATTAAATCAGACGTGACGCTTGAGACATAACGTTTCGTCATAGGACCCGCAAGTCTCGATAGCAGTATCGATAACTCAAACCTTATTGATTTTAGGAACCGGGTCCTTTTGGAACCAGGTCTCGATCCCCATCCCTAGTGGTCGATATATCAAGACAGAGCTGATTTGAAAATTTGCTATGTTTCAGAGATGTGAGGTCCCACCCGCTAACGGGACAGCCAGTATACTTGGCAGCATCAAGTCTGCTGCTGTTCCAATTGCAGAATGATGGACTGCGTGCGTCCCTGGAAGTTTGTACTCCCGAGTTGAACTTGCCAAGTCTGAACTTCTATTTACAGAAGTCGGAACTTGGTATTGAGAAAGAGCCACAGTAAGAGACGAGCTGGAGAACATAATGGAGGATTTATCAGTTAGAGCCAGATATTTCCCCTAGGAGTTGGTGGAAACTGAAAACATGGAAATGTTCTGTATCAACATTTTGATGACTCACCAGGATTGTTCATTTAAAGTGTTTTCTCACACTTCAACATTTCTCTCTGAATGTATTTGTTGTTGGAATTTAGCAGAATAGAAACAGGGACAGGTTTGTATTTAACTTGCATCCTTCACAGTCTCTCTACTCTTTGCTGAAACTGCAGTATGAGAAGCTTTCAGACCAAAACCCTGACTGATGATTGAGTTTTATTGGATTTCCTTTAGGGTTCCTCGTTTCACCTCATGTCTCCTTTAATGTTCTTCTGTAAATGACTCCTTCATAAAGTGGTTTGGTTCCAAGAATGTTTTTATATTGTGTATACATCAAGTTTGAAGAAATGGGAACGGTAAGCTAAGCTCAGCTGTTTCCAAAGTGGAGAAGTAAACCTTTTTAAATTCTCCAAACATGGACGTTCAGAAACAGAGACGTCTGATCTCACATGGCTGCCAGACTCTGTTGTTGTTGCTGCTTCAGATTGTTTACAGCGTCCAACCTGCAGTCTCTATTCTGGGTTTGATCCTCTGTGATGAGACCATAAGTCCATCCAGCGTCCTAACCTTCTTGTGGAGAGAAATATGAGACAGAAGTAGAATTGCACAACAGAGTATGGTAAAATGGTAAAAGTGATCTGATAATGTTTGGTTTTTATTTTTTCTCCCTGTGGTTTTTCAAGTTTATTTCTGCATGACTGATGTTGCTCCCTCAGCTGCAATAACAGTAAGCAAAGGGTGACTGATTAAAATCTCTCCTACGTGGAGCTTTCCAAATTCAGGATGGAATAGAAGTCATGTTTTTATTGGAAACTAATTGCAAAACACAGAGGGGGCGACCTGGAGAAGAGAGAGAGCAGAGGTCAGCATACTGGTGGTCCTCAGAGACTAGGAAACACTGCAGACAGAACAGAGGCATCATGAAGGAGTGGAAAGCACATGGTGTCCCGCTCAAAACAAGAAGCAGTCTACTCTGCCAGAGGTCAGTTCACTGCTCAGTGTTTCGAATGGTTTACAAAGCAGTTACATACTTTTAAAGATGTGGCTTGATGACGATCATACAAATAACAAAGTCCTTATATATTAAAAATAAAAGTTCTATTTGTGTAAATGTGGATTGGAATTAAAGTCCAATCCAGTATTCTGTATTGTTACATATAAATCCAGCCAGCTGTTTAAGTGTGAAACAGCTTCAGTATACAATAGAAATATCTTTATTTTATCTTCTTTTGGAAGACAAATAACCAACCCGAGTGTCATAGTCAACATCTTAAGACAAATACAGGCCTATGCCCTTGCTAAACTCTTTACAGAACATGTTTGTTAAAGCTGAACACACAGTTATATATATATATATATATATACAGTATATACAGTATATACATATACTTGTATTCCTACCATAAATCTTTGACGAATAGTCAACCCACCCGTGTAACATTCTGTAATTTGCCTGATTTTAGATTTACACATATTTGATAGTTTGCTTTTTTGATGTCGTGCAGAACCCATGCAATCAAATGATTTGGATACTGCAAATTAGACACCTACTGTTGTCACGAGGGAGGCGTAGTGTAGCGAAAACAACCGAGAATGCCTGCAGCGTAACATAATTGTGATTGCCGTACATACACACAATGACTCCATGCAGTTGCAAACCTGCAGCCTTTCATCAGCACCACGGACAGCAGCTGAAGTGAAGCTGCTGTCCGTGTCCAACCACCTCCTTACTCGGACTTCTCTGTTTAATATCCTATACCTACCTTTAGCGTTCAAAACTGACGTCCAGTCCGTTATAAACTGAAGCCAATGGGACTTGACGATGCGTCCATATGTGACGACTTGGGAGTGAGAACAGGGTGGCTGTCTCTGACTATCAAACAATTGAAATAGCTAAAACCAGCCTAGAGTAACAAATCCACAACATGTAGAGTCATGTCAGATACCACAGAACTAATAGCAATCAAGAAAAGCACAGCAGCTCATTATGCCAACACAGTATGAATGAATGGATGACGGCATCTGGTCACAATCCATGTGGCAATTGTCACTGTCCTTCGTTGGCCCTTGTAATCAGCTGGGCCCCTGGTGCACCATCTGTACTTACCTCACTGGAGAGTGCCTTAAATTACAGCCTATGGGGGACGTTAAAAAGAAAATCTGTGTTTTTCCTTTCCTGACAATGGAGCTGACCTCGCTTCAGGCCCCACTCCCAGATGATGACTTTGTTCAAAAAAAAGTTGTGTCCATGCAAATGATGATGATAAACGTGAGGATACATTTTTGGGGTCAGAGCTTGACATCTGTTGACCCTCACAAGCTATCTTAAAAAGATTTTATCACTTACAAGTCTGCCAGTTGGAAGCTTTTTAAGCAGTGTGTTAATGCGTCCACTTGACCGACATCACAATCATGTTTGTTGTCAGAAGAGTCAGATGATGTGTGTGTTGTAACATTGCGTGTGTGTCATTTTCCAAAGAAGTGATGAATTTGATCACCAGATATGGTGTCACAAGGTGGCAGAGTAGTTTTACTAAAAACAAACGCTAAGCTGCTCTTTGTCATGCCTTTTACAGTACTTCCTTCAAAGGAAAGGAGGAAGATCTCAGGGGAAACAAGCGATGAATTTTCACATGAGAACATCAATTAAAACCCAGCGTTGGGGATTATAGAGAATAATGTTCAATAGAGTACTTACAAAGAGTACTGGAACTCCTGGAAGAAATATCACCTGCAATGAATATGAATACAGTGGGTGGTTTCAATTCAGTTTTATATAGTGCCAAATCACAACAACATTTATCTCATAGTGCTCATAAAAGAGCAGGTCTAGACCATACTCTGATATTATTTACAGAAACTCAACAATTCCCACCAAGAGCAGCACTAGGCGACAGAGGCAAGGAAAAACTTCCTTTTAAGAGGCAGAAACCTCGAGCAGAACCATGACTCAGGGTGGGCGGCCATCTGCCTCGATGTGGTATCAACATGTTCTGATAAATATTAATTCAGAATGAGTGAAGGTTACTTGTTGATTCTTCCTTTTTAGTTAGATTTATGTTTTATGATAATTTACTTGTATTTTGAGAAAGTGTAAATAAAATCATCGATGCTTCTTATGCAGTTGTTGGCCAAGTGCACAAATGTAAATAAAAGCTGAAGTAAAACAGCCACAATTTAAAGTAGCACAGTAGGTTTAAATTTTGTATAGTTTATTGAAGGATGTGAGATAGTTTGAGAAATGATTCTTTATACAGAACATAAAAATATGCAGTAAACACCAGAAAACCACCAACATCAACAGCATTTCTCTTACAGTGCCAAAATAAAAATTGGGCTTGGAACTTTGTTTTGAAGATGTAACACCAGCATACTTTCATGCTAGTGCCAAAGCCAACACACACACACAAACAAAAACAGACTGATCTCCATTCTGGATCTTGAAATTATGCTTTTAGCTATTAACTCTCCTCCCTTCACGTCATATCATCTGGAAGCTTCTGAGTATAATCATAACAATGCAGCATTACTGTAAGGTACCTAATGCACACACACACATACACACATACACTCACACACACTTCTGTAGTCAGCATTTGTCAGCATTTAATAACATCTGCTGCCATTAAGAGTTTTTTCCTGGATCAATATAGAGAAAAATTCAGCATATTCTGTCTAGCATTTTCATATTGTTATAATTATTTTAGCCACAATAAGGGTCAGTACGGTGTGCTCTGTGTGTGTGTGTGTGTGTGTGTGTGTGTGTCTAGGTGTGTTGAGGTCACACTCAGCTTTACCTTCCCTACAGCCTACAGCAGAGAAAACATCATCTTCTTTGACCTGGTAAACACCCTCCTCTGCCCCTGTTTCTCAGGAATGTAATGCAACATTACCGTTCTTGATGACATGCATCGCGTTTGTGCGTGTGCGTGTGTGCGTCCTCCACCCATGATAAGCCTGGACAGCTCTCTTGTTAAAACCGTATGTGTGTGTTGTAACTGATGACGTCAGACCTCTCATCTCTCTTTTGTGTCGACAGTCCTGTTCTACTTTTCTATCTCAGACACACACACACACACACACACACACACACACACACACTCAAATGGTACAGTGATACTGTTTTGGGTTACAGCATGTCGTGTGAGCAGCGGTGTAAACAAGTGGATATTATTTGTTCACCATCAGTGTATTAAATCAATATGACTCAGCTTACTATATTGAGTATGTTGTGCTCACTGGACTGGCAAATTAACTATTCTTCATCGCGTGTGTTGGGGGTGTTTTTATAATAAATGCATTATGAATTATTTTCATGATTAAACGTAAGCACATGTAAACCCTTCTGTGAACACATGTCATACTGTATTCCTTAAACATAAGTTTTCTCTTCTGTTAAATAGTTTTCAATTGAAACAATGGAGGCTGCAGCACATATACTGATGGACCAGCAATGCTTTTAAGTTAGTTTCAATCAATAGTCTTCTTCTTCCTTCAACTGCTTCCTTCAGGGGTCACCACAGCAGATCATCTTTTTCCATCTCACTGGCAAACCAGGCCTCGCCCAATCCGGTATGTCATGGTATCCATGTATTTGATTTGGCATTGCCATATTTGATTTGGCGTAGGCTTTTTAAGCATGGGACCGGCAATCAGGTATGCACTGGCTTGTGCATCCCCAGTGACTGAAGCCTAGGTTCAATGTCTTGCCAAAGGACACATTGACACGTGGACAGGAGGAACTGCCACTCAGTGGATGACCTGCTCTACCACCTGGGCCACAGCCTAGTTTCAGTCAATATCGTGTTCTCAAAATACAGTGATTAATGTAGATTAGAAAAAAAAGAAAGAATAGAAACAAATTACTGCTGCAAACACTCCAGTGGTTCAGTGACTTTTTAAAATCTGACAATGGTTTTAACTGTTAGATATCTGGACATCCAGAAATCTAATAAACTCTCTGCACAGGACTCAGTTGTTGACATTTTACTCGCGCTTTAAGCACGTAATTGTGACCCATACCTAGTCTATTTTCCTCTGCATTACATGCATAACTTGTGTGTTGGGCTCCAAGCTACCAAAACATGGGTGACCGACACTTGTCAGTGTTCCTGAACACATGCTGTGTGGACTTGGATGGATCACTGAAGCTGCTGCTCTGCTGACATGCTGTTTTCACTGGCAGCCTGTGAAGACACGGCCACACCTTTGCAGACTGTTCACTCTAAAGACTGGGGTATACTTGAAACCAAATAGTTTGTACGACGTGTCACATCTGAAGTGTTTATATTGATTGTACTATTCGATAACTCTTACTTCTTTCCCTAGGTATTTACCCTATTGATGCCATATGTGCTAAAAGCTCTTCTAGTATTTACTGCTGCTCTTATTGTATCTATTGTCACTTGTATGTTGTTCCATAAATGTAAGTTGCTTCTGCCTAACGTAATGTAAAGTTAGCTGTTCAAAACAGCAACACTTGAAGACATGGCGAAAAGCCAGCCATCTAAGAAAGAGGGGGGGTTTGATAATTGTACACATGGGAATTTTGGCGCACCCTTTTCAAACTCTCTCTGCTAAGGCATTCTTTGTGTTGCACTTGGTTATACACATGTGGAAATGTGATGACAGTAGTCATCGACGAGAGACTCTTATTCTTTTATCCCCTTTTATTTGTGCCCTTTTGTCAATTTTGAAGTTAAGTTTGTTTGTCAAGAAAGTTGTAGTTTGTCCTAAAGAAGTAAACTAAC